AAGAATCCAACATCATTTTATGGATGCTATATGCATCTCGCCTCAGCCCAGACTCCGTTAGCAGTGACACAGCAGCAGCAGACACATCAAAGGCTTCAGCTGCTCCCAAGAAACTGCTCTTTACAGTGTGCGAATGATATACATAACAAGCCGTGACAAAATGATTCCGCCTCGACTTGCTTGTTTCTCCTGGACTCCTTTAAGGTGCTGCTGCAATGCATTGTCTTTTACCTCTAGTGTTACTTTCTCAGCTTCCAAGTTCTACACTGTGGTCATTTACCATATTTTCCCTCCAAGTTCCCTCAGTGAATTGCTGTCAGACTATCTCAGCACTCCAGGCTTGAAAAAGGAGTGAGAAAAAAAGAACAACAAAACCCTCCACCTAGTGTCCTCCCTCCCCTTAGCAACGCTAGCTTCTTCATAACAGGGACTGGAGCTGGAGCTCAAGCACTGTGATTAAGATAAGCCCAACCAGAGCTGAACAATTACCTGACGACTAACCTTTTCTGGAGCCACTTAAGGATGTAAGGACCCCTGAGAACCGTTGTTTTCTCTGCGAGGAACACGGCACTTGACAGCAGCAGCCTGGAGAGAGGCTAGCGGCTAGTGGTATCATGTTTGAGATTACCTAATCCTCCCACAGCATCAGAGCTGAAGGACTTTGTCACGTCCGAGGCAAAAGGGGATCGCTGGATTGCTGGGAGATAGTGTTCAGACCACAGTGCCTTCAGTGGATAGATGGTAAATAAAACTTTGAATGGATGGAAGAACAGGGATTGACATATTTGGCCTGGTCTTATGTGGTTTTGTGAATGCCTGTGCAGAAATGACCGTTAAGACTATGCTGTAAAGGAATGATGCCAAATGTCTTGTGACCAAATAAAATAGAATGTAGATGAGAACTTCTATACTCTTAAAAACAAAGGCACCTAAAGGTGTTCTTTGGAGCAATGCCATCTTTTGTTTCTTTCAATATGATTATTTTTGAAAAGGGTTCTATATAGCACCAAAAAGGCTCTTCTATTGTTAGAAGCTTGATACTATAACAACAGAGGAACTCTTTTGGCACTATATACAACCATTTCCAAAAAAAGGTTCTATATAGAACCAAATACAACACATTCTCCATCAATCTGAAGAACTATTTCGTGATGCAAAGAACTCTTTAAGCATGCAAATGTTTCTTTGGTTCTATATAGAACCATTTTCTTTACTAAAGAACACTTGAAGAACCATCTTTTTTAAGTGTGTCGACGGTTCTTGAAAGAATCATTATTGTAAATGTGATATGCAGATAAGGAACACATAACGTAAAGGATCTAGATCATTTTTTTCCAGCACCTTTATTTAGATGCATGCTTTGTAATGTTTATAAAATAGTGCTGTTAAACAATTCAAATCATTAGCAATTACTTGCATTAGTTTGTGTAGTTAATTGTGACTAATTGCATTTGTTTTGTTTGCTGCAATTTGACCTTAAAGAATTTGTTTCCATATAAAAAGCATTGCATTTGGTTACAACTACTAGAGTGAAAGAAATAAGTTTCATCAGAATATATTTATTACTTTCAATAATACAACCTGAACATAACAGAAGGTTGAACATGAAAATAAGTAACACAGGTTCCAATTTTTATCAGAGATTAATGGTCTAACTCCCCCAGGATTGTAGCAGCTCACTCAATACTACTGCGGTATGTCTGGTTTTGTCTAGCTTTCCATTTGGCTGTTGCTTTCGTTAGTATGTGGATTGTTGATTTATCCATAGTTATCTTACAAGCACTGTCCAGTCCAGCCTGCTGAAGACATCCTCCTGTGCTAGCAGTACTGATATTACAAATATTGCCACATCACTGATGCGTGGTGCTTTGTAGACATACTTTGGTGATAATAACTTCATAACTTTAAGAAAGACAAGAATAGAACTTGCTGTTTGCAGCTGCAGAGTCATAGCAACAGCACATGAGCAGCTTAAGGCTGCAACCATAGGTAGTTTAATGGGTCAAATTATGAAAAGGTAAGTTCTAAAAAATTAGTGGCATTAATAATTTATCATGCTAGACACCACAATAACAAAGTTTTATTATCTTATTGTTAACATTTAGCTTCCTACAATGATTTTAAAACATATGTCCATGCAGATGAGCACCTAAAAATCTATGATTTATAATGTTTTCTGGTGTCAACCCTGAGGTCTGTGTGTGTGTGTGTGTGTGTGTAAGTGTGTGTGTGTTCCAGATCCCTGAGGGAGCACATGGGAGCCCTGGCCAGAGCACCACACACTCTCTCATCCGCTGCCCAGGCCTGCCGCACAGTAACCACATGCCCCTAGCCACCCACACATAGGGGTTACCACCATATGACACATTCAGTAGCCCTGTTAAGTGTGCATACTATATAATGTTTTTCCTGTCACACTATATGGCTTGAAGTATGTGGACACCTCTTCTAATAATTGAGCTCAGGTGTTTCAGTCACACTCATTGCTAGCAGGTGTATAAAATCAAGCACGGTGCCATGCATTCTCTGTGGACAAACATTTTCAGTAGTATAGGTCGTACTGAAGAGCTCAGTGATTTTAAACAAGACACTATCATAGAATGCCACCCTCTCCACAGTTTGTGAGATTTTTACGAGGCTAGACCTACCCAGGTCAACTGTAAGTGCTATTAATATGAAATGGAAGCATCTAGCAGCAACAACAGCTCAGCCACAAAGCTGTAAACCATGCAAACTCACAGAGCATGGCTACCTTACTCTGTTGCATCACTCACTACAGAGATCCAAACTGCCTCTGGAAGAAACATCAGCACAAGAACCGTGAGCTTCATGAAATGGGTTTCCATGGCCAAGCAGCTGCACACAAACCTAAGATCATTATGCATAATGCCAAGCGTCAGCTGGAGCAGTATAAAGCATGCCGCCACTGGACTCTGGAGCAGTGAAAACGTGTTTACTGGAACGATTAATCATGCTTTACTCTCTGGCAGTCTGATGGACGTATCTGGGTTCGGTGAATGCCAGAAGAATGCCACCTGCTGGAATGCACGGTACCAAATGTAAGGTTTGCTGGAGGAGGAATAACAGTCTGGGGCTGTTTTTTAGGGTTTGGGCTCAACTCCTTAGTTCCAGTGAAGGGTAAGGTTAATGTTACAGCATGCAAAGACATTTTAGACAAATGAATCCAACTTTATGGCAACAGTTTGGGGAAGGCCCTTTCCTGTTCCAGCGTAACTGTGCCCCTGTGCACAAAGCGAGGTCCATAAAGACATGGTTTTTGATGAGGTTAGTGTGGAGAAACTCCAGTGCTCTGTGCCGAACCCTGACCTCAACCCCACTGAACACCTTTGGGATGAAATGGAACACTAATTTTATTCTTGATAAGATCTTCTTATTCAACATCAGTGCTTGACCTCACAAATGCTCTTTTAACATGACTACAAATTTCCACAAACACATTCAAAAATCTTGTGGAAAATTTTCCCAGAAGAGTGGAGGCTTTCATAGCCACAAAGGGGGACCGACTCCATAGTAATGGCTATAGTTTTGCAATGGGATATCCAAGAAGCTCATTTAGGTATGATGGTCAGGTGTCCATGTATTTTTGCGCATATAGTGTACCTGTGACTTAGTAAAACAGTATTCAAAGCATAGAAAAAGACAGTATAACTGCCTTCTCATGTTATCAGCAATGGAAAACCATGCTTAACCTGGCTGGCTAGACAGACGGTCATTACCAATCCATTTTGAGCCATGAGTGGAGGCTGTAAGTATTAGAGACTTATAGCTTTGTTCAGCCTCCGTCTCGGGTAAATGTCCCGCTGTGAATGCGACCATCGGAATCGAGCGTCCCTCTGGTTGCACTCGCGAGGCGAAGTCAGGGGTTATTTGCTGCTATTTTTACAAGAAACGGGTTGATTTGTCTTAGGCCATTACCGTCTATTACAGCCGGGAGTCTCCGGGAAGGAGGTGGGAAGCGGCAAACGCTGGCATTCTGCCTAAAGAGAAATCAATGAAACAAATTAATCCTTCGCAGGCCGCGGTGACACAGTAATCCATCATTCAGGGGCGCTTTTACACACCGAATCAGAGAGCCTGGGCTCAGGGAGAAAGCCCCAAGGGAGCAAGCTCGCACAACACACGCTCACACACACATACTCACAAGGCAAGATCCACACGCACTGCAAGCAGCCGCCACACAGCTGCAACCCTACAGCCCTGTGTCTGAACATAGAGGGATGAAAGACAGAAAATAATCACAGCCACCGCATGATACAGAACATGATCTAACAGTATGTCGTCAGAGTCATATGCCTTTCGTCCGCATGGGGTGCATCCTCTTCTATATAGTGAGAATGACCAATGGGGTTTTGTTGTTTACATGTTTACCCTGTACCAAAAAGCAGATCAGTCACAGGAGCATCGAAAGAAGACAAGGCACTGAAGGAGAGAAAAGGGTTTAAGGGGAAAGGACACTAGGGAGGAGAGAAACTCAGGAGAAGAGGGAGAAAGAACGAGAGGGGGAATCACAGTGGGGGTGGGCATTGAAAACAGCCTTCTCTTTTCCACCCACCATCACCTCACCATGTGGTGTTGCATTGTTCATGTGGCAGCACATTCACGCACATTGTTCCAATATTCAGATGCTCTGTTGCAGGGGAGCATTCCCATGGCTTCTCCTGCAGCCCGCTGAAAAGGGCAGGTGTCATCACCCGCAAAATTAAGGCTGCAGTCCCCCCACTCTTCGCCAGAGATGGCTAAAAGCTTAGCCGTGCTCGCATACAAAGGTTAAGCCCCACAGACCCACCATAAAAACCCCGGTAATACATTCCACATTGTTGCCAACCAATAAGAAAATCATATCTACACACATGATCAGGTCACGTGATCCGCACTGGGAAGCATCTTGGTCCTCTGAGAGCCGTACACAATAATGCCCTCTATAAACCATGTGATTTCAGACAAAGGAAGACCACAGAAATAAGACATACAGCGAGATATAGATGCATGGTCATTTTATTTAACTCATTCAAATACATGTGTTTTCCTTCAGTCTTAATATAATAAACATAGATTTAATGAAAAATACAGAAAAACACAATGCACAGTTAAGAATAACAGTATTTAAAGTGGAGGTTAGCATGTTACATGGCTGCATAGTTGTATCCCCCGTGGATTTGCCCGTTGGTATTCACCTGTGGCGCCCACATGCTCTCAGAAAAAACAGACTTGCCCAAACTGAAGGAGGGGGGTTAACCTATAAATAAGTAATGCAGAACCAGGGGGACAGACTGTACCATTACTTGCCTTGTCATCATAATAGAGGGTGCCACTTACCTTTAACCATGCTCTGATAGATGAAGAGCAATAGCTTTTGTTCATGTTGGCTTGGGGGAGCTGCATTAAACTGAGGAAGGAAGAGCTAAGGACGTGAGGCGATCCAATAGAATCAGAATCTGTTCAATCTCAGTGCTATAGCAAACATGACATTAACATCAAATGATAACAATGAACATCCAATAAGCCAATTATCATTTAGTAATGGTGTTAAAAGGAGCCACATACTGTGCATTCACAACTAGAATAAAAATATATGGCAGAAATTGATTAATTAGTCTATCTTTCTTTCTTTTTTCTTTCAATATCCTCTTCATTTCCATCCTTTTGGCCTCTTTTATTTTGCTCTTTATCTTTATGTTTATTTACAACATAAACAAGTCTTTGATGGAATTTCACATATACAGGATGTTCAATTTACTGAAGAAGAAAAAAAGCCAAGTTTCATGCAGGAAGTCCCACGCTAGCGGCTGTCCTAAATGCAGGGTGAACACTAGCTTTGGAGTGCCACAGCTGGTAATACTCGGGCCCCTTTCGTTTCGAAGGCCTGTTCTTTCACTGAGCAATAAATTCCTGTTGTACTGCATTTGTTCAAAAATGTTTTGGATGGGGATATGATGGATCTAGCCTGGAGGAATGTGTGTGTTTAGAAATGATGGCTACATTCTTTTTCCCTCAGAGACTGATTGAACTGATAGAGAGGGGGGACGGAAGACACTGAGTGTGAGAGTGTGAGAGAGGGACAGAGCATAAACAGAGATGTAGGCACAGTGCTTCCTGTGTTTGTTTTTCCATGTATGTGTGCGCTAGTATTTGTGTTAGCTCTTATGCAGACACATAAAATGAAATGTATCATGACTACACGGGTGCATTAACACTGTCAAAGCACTTGCTACTACGGTGTTGATGACCTCATCACTTATATTACTAGATCAATGTCCTAGAGGGCAGAGAGACTTTAGGGAGCAAATAAAGAAGATGGTGAGTAACAGGAGGTTTTTCTGTAATAGTCACGTGTGCACCACTGCAACATGTTACATGTTAGCTAGCCTCTTTGCATGCATGCTATTGTTCTAAAGAAGCAGGTGAATGGGGTTTAAATCACAGGGAAAGTTTTGGAAGTAAGAAATTTACAATATTAGTGCACACGCATGGTTCTTAGAAAGTTCAAAATTAAAAAGAGCATCTTACAAGCTCAAAAATAAAGGTTAATCGGTTCTTGTCTTGGACCTTTAACTAATATTGTACCCTTACATAATATAGAAGCTCTTTAAACTTTTAAAAAAGGTTCTTCACACTCGCACATCTCATTTATATTAATTGAAAGTTTCTTTAGGGAACCAAAAGTAGTTCTTCTATAGTATTACCTCAAAGAACCTTTCTGACTCCTTTGCCTTTAAGAAATCAAACAGCAGCTATCAGAACTGTTATTTAACCACGTGGCCACAGCGTTCTGCAGCGTCACTGAGGAGCATGCTGACACAAGAGGCAGAAAGGAACAGAACGTATGGATGGACACACTTGCTTTGGTGGCCAAATTGCATCATCTGGTTGTCAGATGAGAAGAAATGACAGAACGTTGTGCCAATGTCCAAAAGCCCACACTTAGTCAGTCGCTTTGTCAAAAAATGACATTTCAGCATGACAGTAATGATGAGGGACCATTTTACTCTGTGACAAGATGGACAGAGAAGGAAAACTGACATTCTAAACTGCCCCTCTCAATCCGCAGACATTTGGTGTTTAAGCCCACAGCAGGAGTATCATGACTGAACTACCTGCCGGGCCTATGACACATTGTTTTTTATAAGATGTACAATTTTTCACTAATTTTTCCCTGCACTCACTTCAGTCATGCTGTGCTGTTTTATGTGAAATCACTAAAAGGATGAGGAGTGTCAATTAAATGGCTTTATGGAATAAAGTTACTTCATTATTCTTTCTTATACTCTATTCTATTTATTGTATCCTTATTTTATTTATCCCTTAGTGAATATGTGTTAATAGTCTGTGTGCTTGTTTGGTCTGTTTAGTATATTACATATCATACATGTGTGCACTCACCAAGACAAATTCCTTCTATGTGTAACATACTTGCCAAAATAATGTGATTCTGATTCTAACTGAACAAATCTCAAAGCTCAAAAAAGCACCTAGAAATGT